TTACATGTTGTGAATAGTTTCGGTTATTTTTTTTACGACCGGCCGCTTGTCTGACATCAACCCTCTTTGGGAATGCATTAAGCAGTGATGTTTAAATACTCTTAGAAAGTACATATGACTCGGAAAAATCACATTGGTACTTGCCAGGGCAAGGATCGAACCCGCGCGCTCGTGCATGAGAGGCAGGCCTTTTAACCACAAGGCCACCACTGACCCAAGTGACCACTGACTTTATTTCACTCTTAAAATAGCTACAGTTAACTATAGATGTTTACCTGTCTAGAGCAGCTGACAGTTTTACTGTTATAAAAATTCAATTAAAGTTAAAATTCTTATATAACAATTAATTTCTTGGCAAACAAGTTTAATGCCCGACGGCGTTTTTCTTTTAACGGATCCTGGATAAGTCTTGACAGGGAATTCTAGAAATTATATCAAACCAATCCATTTAATGAAATTGTGTGAATCACGTTTTCTATCCCTATCTATAAATTTTGAAATAATGTCATGAAGGAAAATCTCTACTTGTTTTATAACTAATTATTTTAATTGAAGCGTATGTATTCCGAACGGCTATTGTGATATTTGATTTTTTATTAAGGTTTGACGGAAATAATAATGTGACGATATTTTCTGGCTTTCCTTTTTAAGTTAAATCAGGAAGTTGAAATAATGGAATCACATTTTACTGTTGCTTTTTATTCCGCCTGTTTTTAAAACTTTTCCCCGAGTCGTGTTATCGAAATAAAGTAAAGATTGTTTTATTTACAAACACCGTGATCACATTCACAATTCATCAGTTGTTACATATATTTTTATCACGAACATATATAGTTTTTATTTTTACATTAAAATATTTATACTATAGCTATATGTATACGCGATTTTTTGATAGTCTTCCTCATGTGACATAAAGCCTGTAGATTTTCTTTTCATTTGAATAGTTGATGATATAAAACTGAATTTGCTAAAACACTAAGCTTTGTAACTTTAGATGAAGTACAAAACTAATTACTCAAACAACGCAATCTTCAATTTGGAGGTCGCCTTGGTCTGGCCTTGTGAAGGGATATTTTCTATTTAAGAATAAAATATAGGAAAATTAGCTATAAATAAAGTGAAAAATATAAATAATTACTGACGACTTGAATTTGATATTAAAATTATATCCGACTTTAACTAATCAAACAGTAAAAAAATTGTGAAATTTTATCCATATTAACAATTTACCAAATCATATTACATACCGAAACTTCATGTGATGATAATAGTAATTAAGAGCTATTTAAAACGGATTATCTGTATTGGTTTTAACATAAATTACAAATTTAACACACAATACACACAAATTTCTGCTTCATTTAATATTGTTGTATATTTAGAGGTGAGACAAAATGTAAATCAAAGTAAAATCTACATTCAACAGCATGTTTTAAAAATACGTAACAAAGAAGTATCAAATTGTAAATAGAATTAATATATTTATATATTGTAACTCATTGTTCATTTGTTTTAAAACTATGATAAGGGCTGCTTCTATACTTTTATTTTATAATAAAATCGTCGTCGTCATATTTTCGATTGTTGATTTTTGAGAGACGTCATAAATAAGATGTAATTTTAGTGAGATTATTAATGAAATATATAGAGATTATTAATGAAATGTATTGCTAGAGATTCGGTATATCCTTACTTATGTTAAAACACATAAAATAATTTAATATTCAGGCACCAAAAAAAGGTCAACAAGTTGTGTGATGTACGAGTACATCGGGTTAAAAATAATTGAACTGCAAAACATGAATAAAGTCGACAACAGTCACGTTAACTTATTTAAGTGTTTGCATTCAATTTATTTTCATTCAATAATCTCTGATATACATGTATATATTAAAAATCATACTCGTATTTTTGTAATATCTAGTCATTAAAAATGTTTTCATTTGATTTATGGACTCTTATTCATAAGTAAACTCTTTTGTATTTGTTAATATTTGTTATTTATATTTTATAGTGATATTTAGTAAAGTTTTTAATACGTTTCAGTATCCATTGACCTATTTACTTTTAAAATACAAACCGCAGTTAATGAGCAGATCGTTCCATTTAAATAGATTTCATTTCCGCTTAAATATCTTTCAAAATGTTTTTTTTGTAATACCCTTTGCTGTAGTATAATTCGAAGCACTACATATTATTACATTAAAATTTTATGCGGCTGTTGTGATTTATACAGTAAATTTGATATTTAAGCTTACATTTTTATTTCAGCTTTAATAAAATAGACTTAACTTCAAATAGTTCATTCAGTTTTATGCTTTGTAATTTTTATGAGAATTACAAACTTCACAAACTGGTACTATTAATAATGAGGAGTATAAAAAACAGATTCATAATCTTTTCATTTCTTATTAATATGTGAAAGTATTTTTTATAGTGAAGTGATTTAAATAATTTGGTAACATTTACACAGATACATTGTTGTAAGATTGAATACGTTACAAACTTGATATTACAATTATTAGTAAAAGTAGTGAATAAAAAACATACTACATAGATTTTTGTGTAACCCATATAAACTAACATCACATACCAACGATAAAGATAAGTATACTGCATATGCAGTTTATAGCTTATGTAAGTCTCCTTTGCTTTCTGCGTAATTTGTTGTCGCAGTTGAGACATAAATTACGTCACCCTGCATGGTCAGGGAATTAGCTTGTATTAGTAATTGTTGTAGATTTAAACCTGGTAAATAATTATCTGTTTGGTTGAACTAAAGTACTTACCACAATGTAAAGTAACGTAATGACGTAATTCAAGTTTTAAAAGTATACTCAAACAAAGATGGAAGTCATAAAAATATTACTTATCTTGTAAAACATTGCTGAAAGATTGTTGAAAAGCATAAAAACTAGATTTGTCTTGACTATGGAGTGTTATAAATATACATAAATTTTATAATGAACATAAAACCCAGGAAATCTCAGAAATATGAGGGTCTGAGGAACTAGGTACGTTGTTTCAGCTTTCCGAATATACTAAATAATATTTCAGTTATTTTCCAAATATGCTTAAAGAGGTGCAGTAAATAATGTGAGAATAATGCTCTTGAGGTATAAAATTGCTTTGTGTTCAATTAAATCGGTGTACTAAATTATTAACCTACGCTAAGATTTAAGTTTTCCCTTTGTTTGGGTTTCATACAAAGAGCTCATACTTTTTTACCGGTAGGTATATGCAACAGTGACACTTAATAGACGCTAGTTTTATTTTATTTTAGGGAAACAAACAATAAGATAAACTTATGGGAAATGAATATACAAAATTACATATATCAGCTAAGTTTCCACTGGTAATATAACTACATATATATCATAATATATGTATAGTTATGATTGTAGATCTGCAAAAATAAAACTCAATGCCATTAATGTATAACGTTGTAAGAAGGACAGTCACTCTGAATGTAAGATCATTAGAGAAGTATTTATCTGATACTAACCACTGTGTTTTTTATTATATTAAATATGAAAATATCTTTTTAGGATGAGAGACCTTCAGGTAATATTTATCATAAAAACTGTTTTATTATGTGTGCAATTGCGAAAACCTTGCAAATCAATATATTACGTAATACACATCTGTTTAATTAAATAAAATATACATTAGATGTACTAAAAAACTCGTTTCGGAGAAGTCATAAGACAACGTTTTACAATTCAGTCATTTTAAAATTAAAATAAATGATGAAACGTCACTGAGCAATCTGTGTTTATGTTTAATTAACTTAAAATTTTTTTTGTTTATTTCTATTTCAGTATGTTACGTACGCGCTACATATGAAGAAGAAAATGAACATCGCCGGGGTGACATCTTTGTATCGGTAAAATATCGTATAACGAGTGACGCCGCTGACTGCGCGGAACCAACGCCAAGCCGTGTGAACCAGAAGATTCCACATATCACACAAGCAATAGAATGCCATTATCATCCTAACATCGGGGCAATCATGTAGTCTAAGGTATAGGTTATAAGTTTTAAAATGTTATTTGTTTGTTAATATATGTACATATAAGTATGTTTCGTAGTTTTCCTGGAACCTCCGGTTGCCACCCAATATAATTATGTAGTAAAGAAATAGTTATAGTTTATAAAGTAAATATTGCGAAACATGAATATAAAGAATATGTAATCTTTAGCACTTAAGATAGGATATCTTGAAAACTCAACTATACATATAATATCAGCGTAAAGTCTAGGATAACGTTTATTTAGTGACAATCTATTGGGTTTCACTCCTTTTTGTTACTTATTTATTTAAATTTTGATTTTGTTTATCAACTACCTAACTTACTAAAAGAAGAAAAGAAAAAAATCTATTACGTTAAAGTATATCTAATTTGTTTGTTTTTTACCAAGCTTCTCTTTATGCTTATTTTGTGAGGTACTGTCAGCCCAAAAGCAAATTTATTTCATTTGTATCGTTATTCAGAAAAGACTGAAATTTTTTTTATGACATGAAGTAAGAATAAACAATATAATTATATAGCATTTTTGTAATAAGTAGCTTGTTTTAGGACTAAATGATGATCGAACATATGATCATAGGGAAAATACCCATTTAATTCTAAAAAACAAATAGCTGTTAGCGGAACGCAGCATAATTTACTCAGTAAATATATACTATTACTTTCATTTAAGTACAATTGTTGCGATTTCTGCATTGTTTTACATTTTAAAGTGTTTAGTGTTTGAATTCAAATTAAAAAGGATTTTATCAAGAATACTTTTTAAATTAAAACATCGATTTAATATTAGTTACAGTTTATTCAGTACTTCAGTACACAATTCTATTAAAACCAAGTGCTTAAAGTGCATAAGTAATAAATAAAGAGGTCCTGTAATAATGAGGTTGTGTAATATAAATGCATAAAATTATTGACTTTAAGCAGTGATTTCTAAACCTTTGACGTTAATTGCTTGTAAACACATTTTGACTAAGTTAGTTTTGAATATATAATATCTCTGAACAAGGCCAAGCCCTTCTCATTGGCATTAACTGCAAAATCTTGTTCTGAACAACGTTGCAACCAGGCCGCCAAATTTGGATACCTAAAAGATAAAGTAATATCGCTGATTTCTTATTTATTAAAACATATTAATTTGCACATTTTTAAAATAATGGAAAAACTTACATTTCAACGTCAACTGGCAACAAAACGTTCATGGTACTTATGGTCGCATAACAGCATATGTCAGCTAAAGTTAAATTATCACCAGCTAACCAGGTATGAGTAAGAAATTTATCAGCCAGTTCATAGGCTGAAGACAGTTGATCGAGAGATTTTTGATCAAAAGAATTTTGCCCACCAAACAATACGGGAACCTACAATAAAAGCACGTTGTCATTTTTAATACAAACGCTTTTTTTGGTTTCAAATTTGTTTTTAGTTATATGCATATGAATTATTAATTATAGAAGTGACATCACAATATTTAATGAGAGTATATAAGTTAAAATAATCTTGATGAATTAAATAGAAGCTACCAAAATAGCAATATTTTTCCATACATTCCATCCAGATGATTTTTGGATACCAAAAAATATTTATGCAAAGTTACTTAAAAATTTTACAAATTTACTAAAGGAAATAAAATTTATGGTCTGATATTTGGAAGCAAAATAGTAAACCATAAATATTTGTTTATCAATATTTGTACCAAAATTATTGATAGACTCAAAAAAGTGGAATACTTACTACGTTTTGGCGTAGAGCCGGAAATAATACTCCACTGTCAAAATGCAGTCTTTGATCTATAATGGCTCTTTGTTTTGGTTCAGTCGGGTTTAGACTGTCGTCTTCACCATACGTGGATACTAAATACGCCGTTATAGCGTGACTAAAAAAATTCTACTCTTTATATTAAGAAACAAACAGCGTTATTAATAATCGGATATCTTATATTGAAAATAGTGTAAATGCTATGAGAAATTTAAATCATTATCTGAATAAAATCCCAAATATAGATATTCCTCCACTAAAATACAATCATCAATAATATTGATTTAGTTCTTTATTACCTGTCCCAAATAATAAAGTCGCCATCTTTAATAGTGGGTATAGAATGCTGTGGATTCATCTAGGACAGAAAAACAGAGTTACATTTTTCCAATTTTTAAATAAAATTTATATTTTTATTTAAAAAAAATTGTAATATAGAATGGAACATTCGTTTGCAGTGGCGGATAATACATATATATGCTATTTCAGTTATCGATACTAAGTTGTCGTACGCTAAAAACGTTTAATTAGTATTTAAAATATTTTAACTGACACATATATAAGATATATTATAAAAATTATTATATAACGTACTTACTATAAATTATGTTATGCAATCGAATAAGGAAAAGAAACAGGTGATTCGTTGGTGAAGTAAAATTTTAACAATTATACATATTTACCTCCAAAAAGCTATCGTAAGTATGTTCTCCTTTTAGAAGATTAATTTGAATGTATTCAATATCCGGTATATTAAGTTTATTAATGACCATTTTGACTGCTCGGACAGGTGAACTGGCATCCATTCCGTACAAAGTTAGTACCATTGTGCTTAAGAAAATATAGAAGATGATTAAACGTCTTTATAATATATGGTATTCTTAACGAAACGTCTACTTTAAATCGAAAATACTCGCTGTCGTCTATTTCGATCAAGTGCTTTCAGTGAAGTGTCACATAAACCTATTTTGAGGGCCTTTTATACAGTCACAACACAAACATTAAATGGACACCGCATTAATAGAAATTTAATTGCAATTGCTGTATGGATATAAAGCTTGAAATAAAATGTTATTGTTTTCCTGTCTTCACTAAAAACGAAATTTTTGTTTCTTTTTTGATTAGGTAATTTTATACACTTGCAATATAAGTCTTCAAAACAAAATTAAGCTCATAGGAGCAGCATTATAATAAGGTAAAATTTATTTTATGTGAATAAAAATTGGCTGTAGTCATTATCCATATTTTCCTACATCGCCTTGCATACATTATCATCAATGCATATATCAGATATATCAACTGAAATACAACACGTTTTTATGAAATAATAATAGAGTATACCAAGGACAGTTGACATTAGACTACGAAGGTAAAATATGTATCGTACTTATCAACAATTCTATAATAGTTAAAATAAATTGGTTTACCCATATCTTTATGATAATTATATGGATTGCTCTTTATATTACGTATTTTAAATAAATATTATTTATGCCTTATGACAAGAGTTACTTAACTGATGTGATTTATATCAAATATTTAACTAAAATCGATCAAGTTATGTAACAAGGATCAATATACTTGATTGAAAATTATGTATATTTCTTAACTGTAATAAAATTATATACAGCAGTCGAAAACAAAACGGATATTACGTCTTTGACTGCTAATTCTATGTAATTTTGTGTCCTTCCATCGCTTGAATAGTTTGAAATATAGAACAGCTAAATTAAGTACCACCTTTTAATGAAATAATTTGGTAAATTTTCTTTGTATTTTCTATAATTTAATGGAATATTTTAATTGTAGTATGTCAATAATGTTGTGAATGAAGGTGCGAAATATGTGTAATATTGTAAATTATAAAAATATTTTTACAGAGAAACGAAATAAAGCCAAATCATGTTAAAAATAAAAATAATTAATATTTATTTAAAAAAAACAGGCTTCTCTTATACTTTTTAAAATTATACAGCAAGTGATTTTTTTAATACAACTATGTTGTTAAAAGTAAAACAAAAATTGTTACTTTTTTAATTAGTCGATTTATATAGTTGTATCAAGTAAATATAGTCCTTAAAAATAAGTCCCAAAATCAAGTTCAATCAATTGTAACGCTATTGAATATATCAATAATACAGATATTTATAAAAGTAAAACTCATCACTTTAAAAATATGTACTTAAGATTTGCCTTGTATATAGTTTTGCCTTCAATAGGTATATATTTACATATTTGTAATGATGGTCATTAAGTAATATTATTATTGAGTCAAATAATTGTTATAGAAATCAAAATTTTAAATGATATTATATCTTTATTACAGTACATATAATTTGGAAAAAATTGTTGGAAGAAACAATAAATAAAAATGATGTTTTGCTTCAATTTGTACACTTTCAGAAGCTTTTGCAGGGAATATTTTTTCCAGTTTTTGTCACATTTTTCACTGAAGTTCTGCTTGTATTAGTCGTAGTCTGACGTTGTAGTCTATAGAAAGTGTCGGTAAATGGACTATTGAACACAAAAAATCGAACGAATATTTCCTGAGATAAGCTCACTCAACCAAACAATGAATCCCACAAACTTTATAAGTTAAATAAGCTAGCGGCTTTCTTTAATAAAAATGTTTTACAAAGTAATTTTTTAAAAACGTTTATATTTAATATAGATTTATTATACATGTATAATTACTTACTCATTTGTATTATGAAATTGGTTAAATTTGAAACTATACAACATTTTATATTTTAGGTGAGTTGTACAGCTTTTCTTAAATTTGTTTTAGCAATTACGATTATTTATTCGTTTTTCTCAGAGTTACTTATGAATGAATTAATTTTATAAGGTTTCCATATCAATAAAATAAAATAAAATGAGTCGTCTATTTAATTATGTTCCATATAATAACTATATGTCAGTTTACGGTCACTCTTAAAGAGATTTTCTTCAAGTACATACATATATGATGCTGTTATTATAATTTAAAAAATAATACTCGCCTTCTTTAAAAAATATGTTTTTAGTGTTAAAAGTGCTTGCTTGTTCAATATTTTTAATCTATTTTTTAAATAACATTATAAGAATGATTTATAAAATATCTTTGGAGGTTTATAAATTGAAAGCGGACCATTAATGATTAAAAACCCGGATTGTTTGTAAATGTTCCAGTTTAAAAACAACGAGTAACCTTGCTTCTTCGTGTAAATAAACTGACCCAGATTCACTTTATCTCACTCATAAAGTGGCTCCAGGGAAGTCTAGATTTTAGATACAAGTTTTGTTCTTTTTCACCTGTTCCTTCGGGAATTTTCTTTGGCCAGTATAGAGTGATATAAATTAACAAATGTGTTGTGAACATTATCAGACCTCATAATGTATGGCACAAAGCATTTTCAGGACACTGTCTTTTTAATGGATCACATAAACTTGAGTTTTTTAGGAGTAGCGATGTTTTCTATAAAGACATTAACATGTTAGGTAGTGTGTCAGTTAAAATAACTATTTTTATTGACATAAAAATTTAAAACTTAACACTTATTAAATTTCCGGAACACTTTCTATTGCTTCAAGTAATTCCTGTGTGTAATCTTAATTAATGTTTGTCTTTTATAGTCAGAAGTAAATTTTATTTATGATAAAGATATTTAAAATAAAAAATACAGCTATGTCAATGTTAACGGAAATAAGTTAACGGTGTATTCATTGTATATTTGTTTGTATTTGTAGTGAATTGAGTAAAATATTGTGTTAATCAATTTGTATGATATTGTATACTCACGAACTATTACATATAAAATAAAACACATTATATCTGCTATTAATGTCATCGTAAACACATAAGTATGTTATTCAAACTTAAATATAAGTATCTTTAAGTGTAGGTTTAAGATAAGAGTGTTCAAGTTTTTATATCATCAATTCTAGGCTTCACTCACTAGTATATTCACGTAGGCTGTTCAATTTACTTGGTCGTGGTTACGTAATTTTACAAGATTTGGTTTGTATGTTTTGATATGTAGATTTTTGTTAAAATAGAGGTAGGTACGTATTAAATTAAATCATAAAACTTTATTTTTCAATTACTAAAAACAATTACTACTTTCTTAAACGAGATATTTTTATTTTATAAATTCTGACGGATTTAACAATTGATATTCATTTTACAAAATTAAAAGCTAAATACTAGTTTATCCTTATTAGTTTATTCAGTTTGTCGCGACAAACTATGTATAGTAAATATGCATGTTCGTGTAGAGGTTTATATTCTCCTTAATAAAACTAATTAACTAATGTATGGTATGATAGTTTACCAGCTAATTAACATGAAACTCATCTTCAGACTTGTCAAACTAACATCGTTGCCTTGTGTTCTCTAAGAGACAATCCAAGACACACTATCTGACGTGCCATCGAACTAGCGGTTTCACTGGACGTCTTCAATAAGATATTGATCATTCAAGATAACCGTCAAGTGCTTCGGTTCCATGGAATGTCTCCCTACATTCAACGGCTTTTCGAGCCATATATGCAGACACTAGAGCTCGAATATCCTCTTCTCCCAAACACGACAGTATTTGTTTATGTTGTCTAATCCAAACCAACCTGTTATGATGGCTGGGTTGCAGAAAACGGGAATATGTGTAGAAACGAGGTAGAAAAAAATTAGAAGTTGTGCTTTGGTGTCTCAAAAGTCTACGCCACGCCGTGAGGGTGCATCATGTTACTCGAAGTACCCTAAGAAGATATATTTAACTTTCATTTGGTTTAATGCAGTTATTCTTCTATCGCGTTACATTATCAATTCGCAAATAAAGTATTTATTATAGATAAAAATATTTAACATGAAATAATGAATTAAATAATATTTCTACTAATATTATAGTCTTCATAAGTCTGAAGCTAATTACTATAAAAGTACACAATGTTTAATTCTACATAACTGTAGAAAAATAACGTTTTAAGATAAACTTTAACATAATATGTACACCAATTTATGACAATAACTACTTAACATAGACACAAGCAGACTTAGGCTCTCATAAAAACAAATATAATTACATATATAAAAGTGTGTTTTTCTTTAATTTAGATTATCGGTCTTCTTTCGAAACCTTTCTCGTACGGATTTCTTTTGTTTGTAATAAAACACTGTATTGTGGGGCCCTCCATAGTAACAACATATTTATCAAATTATCGCCTGTTTATGAAATCTCTTACTTTGTTTCTCCTATTCTTGTGAGAAACACCAAAAAACGGATAGTTGCTTGCATAACATAAGCCTGAAAAGTTATTTTTCACGTCAGTATTATAATTTGTTTCTATGGCAAATTATTACGTTACAAAAAATATATATTATTTAAAAAAAAACAATTAGTAAAAATGCTTTAATAAAAATAAAATTTTAAATAATATAAAAACAAAATTGAGAATATTCATTAATCGATCGAAATTATTTACTGAGCTTTATATATTCAAATAAGACTTATGTATTCTGACACTAAACCGAAAACTAATGAAGTTTAAAACTGCAATTTCTCATCAATGAATACTGTTTTTTTTTTTCAGTAAAACTCAGGCAATCAATGAGTGCACATTGACATGAGACATGTTGACAAAAACGCAACATCAGGTTAAAATACTGTGTATTTATCTGAAATAAAACATATTAATTAAATTTAAAAAAGTTAATTGAATAAAATGCCCTTTATAGTGTTTAAGTTAGTAAAACATTAGGATAAGGTTCTTTTAAGTTTAAATGTGTCAATATTACAATTACCACTTTAATTATAAAATAACTTAATCACAATGTTTTTTACATAATGAC